AGCAAGGGTAGGAGTTCATTGCAACTGTTAAACCCTCATCCAAAGGGTCAAGGGGTGGAGACTCTAACAGATATACCTTTAAAATATTGTAGCTCATTATTTGTGTTACATGTTATAGGAAGTATTATAGCAGGAACCACACAAACCAGTGGAGGACTAGCCTCACAAGGAGACATGCAAGTGCAGCAGTGAACCAACCTGAGCTGGATTTGGTGCCAAATAACTCCAAAAAACACACCATCTCTCCTGTGCTAAGTGACCACCATAATAGATAGAACCCACGCCACGGACTGTATGAACTCAACGGATATTTTATGGGCATTTTATGGTCATTTTACAGGGGTGACCCATAGGCCACTCCTGTCATAGAAAATTACATTTGTGTATATATCAAAAGATGGGGAGCAGGGTAGTGGTTAATAAGGACGTATTGGATAGTGTGAGACCAGTGCATGACTTAAATGGTATGGAATAAAGGGTGGAAATGGTACTGTTTTTGGCTGGGATGGTGATAATGGAAGCTCTGATGAGGTCATCATTCCATTGCTCTTTTTGTATTCACCAGCACTTCATCTAGACAATGCAATAAAGACAGACCTCACTGTACTAACAGATTGTGTTTTGACAAGCCAGTAATGTGATTCTAGCATGAAGGAAGCAGAGGCAGTCCCTAGCTGTATCAATCAAGAAATTTTACTTGATGCAGTAAACACTGAATAAGCATATTTCATGCTATAATTATAAGTACAGCCTCTTGTGAACCCCAGAAAGTATTACCCTGCTACATCTCTGCCTATGAATCCATGTTCACTCTCTGAAAGAGACACTAGCGTGCTTTTAATAGATGTAGGAAGTGGCCTTTTCTTAATAATTAGGCCAAATTAACTCTGAATAGATATTCTGTTTAAAAAACAGGACTAATTTAAGAGAAAATAACTTTCTGAGCTAAATGAGAGAAACTGAACAAAAGGGTTGTGGATCAGAATACCATTACCAAAAAGGCAGAGAACAAGGTATTTTACACATGAGTTGTAGTCCCTGATGGGCTCCAGCAGCTTTGCTGTAAGCCCTGGTGGTGTGTCCCCACTGCCTGTAGCACCCCATGTGCAGAGTTTGCTCAGCTGTGAGCAGGTCCAACTGTGCTGCAGGTCACACCTCGGCATCTGAACCCAGTGAGCATCCAAAGCCATGGCATGGCAGCCATGGGATGGATGAATGGAGTGCCATGCACAATGGCTGCGTCCCAAGCTGCCTGTGCTCAGCCTGCCTGCCCGTGCAAACAAAGGGGCATCCTGCCTCCCATGAAGAAGAGCCTGCCCTGGCACCAGAGCAGCAGCACAGAGTCTCCAAGCTCTCTGTGGCACAGCCTCTTCTCAGTTGATCCCGACTGGGACCCATAGCCATTGGTCAGTAGTAATAACGAAAACAGTCATTTTCAAAGAAAATACAATTCCTCAGAGGCTCATGTCACATGTTTACTGTAGGCAGACCATGGGAAGAACATCCCCTGGAAATGCATGAAATATCAGTAATTTTGAGTTGGGACCAAGCTGAAATGGGGGCCCCGTAAGGTCTGACTTGTTATGAAAATGACTATTCTATACTGGGCTCAAGAATCCAATAGCAAACACTTCTCTAAGGACCCCAGCCCAGACAGTTATTTTTACGGATGCTAGTGTCATTGCTCCTTGGAGTTGGGTTTCAGCAGAAAGAAGTTAGTGTTTCACTGACATCTTAAGATGTGAAGGAGAGCTTTGAGCTCTCTGAGGAGTGAGCAAAACATTTGGCTCTACCAGCTGCACATGGAATATGATCTGAGCCAAATATAAGAACTGAGGGATTTATACATTTGTTTCAGGCATCATAAGTTCATTTTAAGAAATTATTCTCCCTGTACACAAACACGTACTCACTCACACCTACATGTACCCACACACCACTTACAGTGCTCTAACACTTTCCTTTGGGGTTGGTTTTACTCTTGCTGTGCAGAGCCTGAAGTCTTCCTGGGAAGAAATCTCTACATGATGCGTACATCATGTGGCTACTTTTTCCACAAACTTTTCTGAACATGACCACCATGATCATTCTCTTCTGCCCTGTTTCATCACATCCCCAGCTCTCTTTGGCAAGAAAATAAGTTCTTTGGTACAGGAGACTGAAAACTTCTCTCAGCTGATCAGATAAAAGAGTGCCTGGGAGAGAGATTTCTTCACCACTTATTTTGCCCCAAGATGTGGATTTCCTTCATTGGCAGGAGGATTGAGGTGGTGTATATGCTACACACACACACACTTTGTCCTCTCTTGAATAGTGGTGGCGGGAGGTCTCATATGTGGCATCAGTGTTACTTAGGGAAGCAGCAGCATCATTTGGTAGGCAAAGCACAGTACTACTGATAAATGGCTGCAGCAGTTTCTTTGTCCCTTCCATCTTTAATACCAAAGGCCTTACAAGCCTTAACGTAGCAAAACTATGTGGGAAATTTTCCTGAATTTTACAATGCAAGATATCACTTATCAGCATGATGCACGCTCAGAAGTGCTTTGCTATCCCTCCGTTACAGCATTACCAATCAGTCCTCAGATCTTTTAGGAAAAGGATAATGTGAGTGCAGTTGTAGTTTTGGTTACCCATCCCTACAGGAGCATCAAGTGAGGAAGAACAACCCCTTCTCATTGTCCATAGCAAGAATATTATGGGTGGTCCGAACAGCTATTCTTGCCGAGTTCCCATCATTTGTCCACAAAAATGCTGTTTTCTGATCAGGGGAAGGTGGTACTCTCTTGCC